GCTGTGGTTATATCCCACAGGTATGGTCTGTTCCACAGCTGTGAAAGCCAACAGGCACTTGGAGAGGTCTGTAAACTCCTCATACCTGAGCTTGCTCCATTTTTCTGCAGCTTTCTGACCACAACTTTGCTTTCTCTGTTCTATCCCTGTTCCTTGGTACTGTGGCCATGGCATGTGGCCAGCAGGCACAGTGGATTGAGTGAGAATTTGGAATGGTGGTGCTTCTTTAGCTTGGTGATACTTAAAAAAAACAGTGTACCTTCACATTCCATGCCTTAGTTTTATTAACCCCTACTATATGGATCACTCCACTGCTTTTGGAGAGCCTCATCATGTAATGTCTCATGACACATTGGAAAGGGCTCTTGGAGATAATTCCACTATTTTCTGGCTCTCACATATCTGGATTTCATTCTATGACTCAACTGAATGAACCTCCAATATCTCAAACCCTTTGCTAAGTACAACTTTTCACCAAATTAGAGATGTGTTACTGTGCACCTGATTTTCTCTGAGCCTGAGAGAATTGCAGACTGTCAGTGGCAGATCTGTTCCCAAGAGAAAATTTATTGGGAGATCTTGCACTCAAGGACAACATTTGTAAACCATCTTGCTTTCTCAAAACAGTTCTGCATAACTGTAGATAGTGTGTTTTTCTCTTGTCACACCAATGGTACAAGAGGTGATGTTCCCTTACCCAATCATGTTCATCCTGTAGTGTTAGACCCTATAAAAGCTAAAAAGTTCAGAGAGTAAAAGCCCCTTTTCCTAGCAACTCGTAGTGTGTGCTGTGAACCTACATTGATGCTTCGTGTCCAACAGTGACATGTTGCCCAGTAAAAATGAATGAATACTTCTGCATTTCCAGAAAGATTTGAAACTTGACATTGAACAACTGAAATGATCTCACCAGAAACTCTCCCTCTAAAATACATTAAAAGATGAGAATGAATGAAAATAGCCAGAACCACAACTTATATAAAGAGACCCCCACCAAAGTGTGGAGGAGAGCAGCACTCCCAAAGCAAATGGTGTTGCTGTGCATTGGTGACAATGACAATGTCCAGGGCATTTTGTCAGCACTGAATGTTTTAACTGGATCTCTATTATTAGCACTGAGTGCACATATGTTAAAATTGAGTGTGGCAAACTTGTGTTGCATTTTCCAGGTGAATGAGTGGCAGAGTGACTGGCCATCCTTCTTTATCCGTCACCGACTCCAGGCTCAGCTGGATTTGATTGAAAAAGATTATGGAGACAGAGAAGCCAGAGAACTCTGGTCACAGCTAAAAGTATGAACCATGTCTTAAATCTATTTTCTAGAATTTCAGAAAATGTGTATCAGTGGGATTGTAAAGGTGTCTTATAAGGGATTTTCCCAGCTTGGAATGAAGAGCAGGGTCTAGATGACCTTTGCAGTGGGTCCAGCAACACTGTTAGCTGAACAGAATTCCTGTTGCTCTGTCAGTTTTTATAGATGGGGGGGAAAAACCCTGTAATTCAGCATTAACGTTTATTTCTGAGCATTGAGCTAATAAAAATAGTAATGTGGTAAATCCTAAGAGCTTGGTGTTATGAAGTGGGTGAAATTCTGCTGCCTGGACAGGTTTGTGTTTTATCTGGCCCAGGCTTACAGCTGGTTTTAGGCCATGTTCCATGCAGCAGACAGGGAACACTAGGGATGTTCCCCCTCTCTTCTGTTCATTTGTCCAGATGCTTACTGCAGTTCTTTTTGCCATTGAAACTTCTTAGTTTAAACCAAATAATTTTATATTTCTCATGACAGCCAACAGTATCCATGTCTAGAAACAATATATCAGTACCAGCTGTTGATACTAGACTGTGAATTAAATGCTTTGCTGAGCTCTGTCAAGAGAAGTCCAGAACATTTATCACTGGCTTCTTGTTGTTGCCATCAATGTCCAAAGCAGTCCATGAGGGCTGAACACAGGCAGCATGTGGCCAGCTCAGGCTCTAATATGCTACAGTACTTTATTTTATTTATTATTTTCTTCAAAACTCTTTAAGTGTTATATGTCTGTTTGTGCTTTTTCAGCCAAAGATTCCTGAAATGTTCTGTGATGTAGAAATTGTCCCTGCTCTCCTGCATGGGGACCTGTGGGCAGGGAATGTGGCTGAGGACGACTCCGGGCCGATTATATTTGACCCTGCCTCCTTCTATGGCCATTCAGAATTTGAACTGGCCATCGCTGGAATGTTTGGGGGGTTCAGCAGCTCTTTTTTCTCTGCCTATCACAGTAAAATACCCAAAGCTCCAGGATTTGAGAAACGAAACAAGTTGTATCAGCTCTTTAATTACATAAACCATTGGAACCATTTTGGGACAGGGTACAGGGGCTCTACCCTAAACATGATGAAGAAACTTCTGAAGTAACCAGGTACATTTGGGAAATTCTGTCACAGTCCCTTAGGAATGAGCAGCCCCTGCTCATCCCAAGTACCACAAACTTGGAATTGATGGTAAAAGACCTGATATGGAGAAGGTTTAATGCACTTTTGAGCCTCACTAACTAAGAGCAATTGTGTAATCTTTAACTTTGGCACTAGCTTCCCTGCACAGATTCCTCCCTGCTGAAGGAAAGGGCTGCACTGTTTGTCATGGTTCCACTGGCTTGGAAAGCAGCACAACAGTCAGCCTCCCCTTGCTCTCTCACCTTGTAGCTGCTGTGCTCCTGCTGTTGTTCCACAGCAGCATCTTCCCAGTCCTGCTGCTGCTCCACCAGCAATTTGCTACAGAGAGCTGCAGTTGTGGCACAGTGGTGCTGGAAGTAATAACAAGTTCTTATGTCTGCCCTTGTTAGTTCTGGCTTAGTTTTCTGTCTGTTCCCAGCCCTTTTCCCATGGTCTTCTGTTTCCCTTTCCTTTCATTTTGCATGTCAAGTGTCCTAATCCAAAATTTCAGTCAGATTCTGTGAATCTGGAAACATTCTCTTTTTAATTTAATGAGCAGACAAGGCCCTTTAGCTGCATTTGGCAACCATATGTAATTAATAATATTGCTAATATTTATTTTAATTGAACGTAATTTACTCACATTCAGTTTTCTCTTGATACAAGAACTGAAATTCCAGTGGTATTTTCTATAAGGATGTCTAATTCCTTGGTAATTATAATAATAATTATAATCATTCCTGTACAGTCAGAAGTAGGTTGTTACCACTCAAAGCTGATAATAGCATTTCATCGTTTTAGTGTGATATTTTAGTGTGTTGTACTACAATAGTAACATATTTGAATAGCATTGTAAAAAGACAGCAAAGTGTGGGAGGGAGGCTCTGTGGTTGGGTGAGAAGCAGCACCTGTGGCTGCTGGGTTGGTTGGTGCTTGACATTGATTTTCAATTTTAGGAAATGAGTGCAGTGGGCAAAGCTGGTCTGTTGTGCCATCACTGGGTTATGGAAGGAATAGTGTCAAATCTGATACATTTGTAAGGGGTTTTATTGTTCCTTACTGCTTTATTTTTACAGTAAACACAGGCAGTGGGAATTTGAGGAGAAAAGTGTTCAGCAAGACAATGGTGTGCAATCTGAGCTATAGGACATCAGTGACTCTGGGGGGATTTTAATGGAAGAAAGTGGCAAAGAGAATAAAAGTAAGTGCAGTCCCACAAATATGAATTAGAAGGTTGGGGTAAGAATGATCTGAGTTCAGGCTTCAGATGGTTGGTATGATTAAAACTAAAATATTCTGTTCAAAAGTGCTCAAATATGTTTAGGCTTTTTTCATTTTTAATGGTTGTGCTATAAAGATTTAATGAAGTTTAAAATTTGATGTTGTAATTGGTTTAAAACAATTGCACTTTGCTCTCTGTAAATATGATACAAATAGTGAAAAACTTACTTCTTTTGAATCGGGGAATCTGTCAAAGTTGGTTATAAAACTTAACAGAACTGAAACAATGGAGAAGTGGAACAGTAGGGTTAGAACATAGTTGGGATTGTAGCTGATGGCTGGAAAATCTGAGGAAAGAGCAAAGTGCATGTGCACTTTTTGCTGTTTATGAATGTGAACAAACTGACCTGTAGCACACTGGGGAGTACTTGTGAACTCAAACTTGTTCTCAAATAAAACACTCGCCTTGCAGAAACCCAGCATTCGGTGTACATGTGTTTTGTGACTGTGGTTTGATTGAATGGATTTGAGCCTGAAGATAAAATATTTGGGTGTGGATGGAGCTGTTGGATAGCAGGAAAGAGCCACTACCTGTTCTGACATCCTGGCTGGGCTGAAGTGCCTCCTTGAATTTCCTGTATAATCAGCAGAGTTGATAAAGCTGTAGCTTTCAGGGTTTGAATGTTGTTTCCAGAACTGTATGAGGTTTGGATAATGTGTAGTGATATTTAACATGGAAAGCAGTGTTTTGGTGTGGGTGGGGTAAGGAATGGAGGTCACAGAAAACGGCATCATCCAGTTGTCTCCCACATACCTTGTGCAACCAAGGTTGTCCTCATCCTTGTCCTTTTCCCCTGGGGTCCCTGTCCCCATCCCTGTTCTCTTCCCTGGGGTCCCTATCTCCATCCTCACCCAGTGCTTGGGTGCCCATGCCTGTGTCCCCATCCTTGTCCTATCCCCAGAACCCCATAGCTGGGTGTTCCCAGGGTGGGTGTCCCCATCCCCAGCAGGTGTTCCTGTCCCCGGTGGGTGTCCCCAAGGTGGGTATCCCCATCCCCAGCAGGTGTTCCTGTCCCCGGTGGGTGTCCCCAAAGTGGGTATCCCCATCCCAGCAGGTGTTCCTGTCTCGGTTGGGTGACCCCACCCCCGATGTGTGTCCCCAGGGCGTGTCCGCCCCTCAGCTCCCGGCCACCCCGCGCAGGGGCCGGGCCCGCGCTCGGAGGCGGCGCCGCCGCCGCCTTTAGTCCCTCCTGGCGGCCCGTAGCAGAGCNAGGGCAGCGGGACCGGGCGGGGTGTGAGGGCGGCGGGACCGACCCTGCCCACGCTCGGAGGAGCGGTGGAACTGACCCTTCCCTCTGACACTGCCAGCGCCGGGCCCGCCGGGATGGACGGAGCGGGGCGGGAGCCGGAGGAGGGCGAGGAGCGGGAACCGGGTGCCATCAGCGACAGGAACATCCTGGACAGCTTCACCGAGAGCCGGGAGGTCGCGGAGCTCATCGGGAACCTGAGGGAAGTGTTCGGGGAGCTGGTGACAAGGGAAATGGCCGTGGAACGGTTCATAGGTAAGCACGGCTGCCAAAGGGAGTGGTCCTGCTATTGCTTGATACAAACATTTTATTATGTATTATTAATTTTATTATTGCTGATTAGCAAAAAGGGACCAAACCGCTAATTTTTGTGTCAGTGATAATGCTGGAACTTTATCAACAAGTAGTTCAATTGCGTTTTATGCTCGTTTTGTTTTCCATATAGATATTCCTTTATTACCTGGTATTTAACTACTGCAAATGAAAACTTAGGTCTTAGATTTCAGAATTCTGACTCATGTTAGTCCTCCAGTTTCTTATTCAAATTCAGGCCATAATTTAGTTAAAAGTTTGTATGTCTGTCAAATAAAGCAACTTTTTAACCTAATTACTCATCGAAACATACCCATTTTGTACTTTACAGTGTTAATTTCCTATTTTTACTTTTTAATTGCATGGGAGATGTGAAGGGTGGCTGAATCCATACAGATCATGTATGTTTTTCCAAGTGAAGGTAACTTGATTTCATGTTTGTGAAAAGGTCTAAGGAAAGCTGTCTGGGCCTCAGCTGAATCTGGAAGGGCCATAGTGAGGTGCAGGTAGCAGTGTCCTGGATGACCAGCCTGTTTCAAGGCACATCTGTGTTTTGGGTCAATATTCTGATGAGGTGATTTGCAAAATTGCATTCAGTGCTTCATGTATTTGCAAACTGAATTTAGCAGACTAGCATTTTGCAAGTATTTTTGCAAAGGATGGTGTAATTGCAAAACTCACATTCAAGATACTGACCCAGCAGCTTTGTTTTTGACGACAAGAAATGAGGTGGGCAAACAATAAAGCAGAACCCCTCAGATTTGGAGATCTGACCCTGCAGAAATCTTTCCACAGCATTATTGTGGTTGACTGAACTGACTGTTCCATCTAAATGATGGACATGTAACTGCTCAGACAGAAGTCCCAGGAAGTCACATTGGTGAGGTTGCTCAGCATCACAGAGGAAATGTCAGATTTTAGTGGGACAGGAAAAACCATTGCTGGAAAATTCACCTTGCTGTGCCTCTCTGTCTTGTCATACTGCATGAAGCATTTCCATGCATTTAAATTGTATTTATGAGCTTTCTGCCTGTATGTTGTTGCCTAGTAAATACAGGCTCAATATACTTAAAAAAGATACTGTGTATGTGGTTCAGTATTGGGTTATAACATTCAGTGTGCTCAGGTGTCATTGATCTTTTTGGGACAAAATGTTCCAAATCTGCCAAGAGGCTCAATGTGTGGGTTAGAACACTGAAACTTAGGGAATTTCTTTTATCTGGGTACAGAGAACACAGTAATCACCCATTCCAGAGGATTTTAGTGAAAGTTTCCAAAGCATTCAGAAAAACTAATGCTGCTCATTTTTTGATGAACCATTAGAAAGAGAAGTTTGGGAAACAGTTTAATCTTCAGCTACAATTTTATAGGAAAATATAGGAAAATCTTTTTTGAAATAATATGTTTAGAGGATCTGGTTTAGGTTCATTGTCTTCAGCTTTTATATTTGGGGTTTTATTTTATCTTTGTCAGGCTGTGACCTGGGAAAATAATTTGCTCTTCAATGTCAGTTCTGCTGGAAAGCTGTTGCTTTGCTGTTGGAATTCATGTTCTCTGGTTGTGCTGTTTGTATGCAGCTTAAGGCATCATTAATTAAGGTGGGAAGTCAGTGATGGTTAGAAGCTCAGGTTTCCCTCTTGATGGCCTTCTGGTATCCCAGTGGAATTGCACAAGGATACTGTTGGATGGTCTGGTGTCTGAAAGTGGTTGTGCAGTGTCATCCACTGGTCAACTGCAGCACTGTTGGCTTTCAGTTATGTCTTACATTTAAGTGTTGATGTGCCAAGCAGAGAAAAAGGACAGAATGAAGTTGTTTACGAGATAAACAAATACAGAAAAGGGGAGGTTAAGGAGGTTTTAATTTTCTAATTCAAAAGCTGTTTTCTGACCAAATGGCTAAAATGAGCCAGGCAGTCTCTAGTGCCACACTGGATCACTTAATGTTCTCCTTGGGAATCCATCTTTCATTTCTGTGGCTGCTTTTTGTTGATTCTGGGTTTAAATTGAAAAGCTTTTGTGTCTGAAAGCTTTCCAAGTTTTCTTAATTTTTTTTCAGTATAAATTTCAATTTGTCCTCTCTTGAATCAGTATTCAAAAGGAAGAGACCGTGTTACCGGCAGCAAAATAGAGTAAGGGATGTGAACAGTTTTGAGGAGCACAGTGGTAAGAGCTGCAGTTTGTGTTTTTTGAGGTTAAAATTTGTTAAGGATTCTTTGCTCTTTGCTGAATTCTTTTTCAAAATAAGAAATTAGCTCTGAGATTGTGAGGAGCACTCTCATTGCAAAGTGTTACTTGTGTGAGGTTTGTCCAAGGAAATTGGAGAGACTCCTGGGGGTGGCTTGATGGTTCAGTAAGTAGATGAGTGCAATGTGAGGGGGACAGACTGTGCTTGTACTCCTACTTGGAATTATAGACTGCTTTGGGTTGGAAGGGACCTTAAAGATCATGTCATAGGGTATCTCACAGTTAAAGGTCTGGAAGAGCCTTGGAGTAGTTTATTACAGATATCTTTTAATTTCCAGGCATAATGGACAAGTACCAGGAACAGCCTCACCTTTTGGATCGCCACTTAGGTAGGAATGTCATCCTTAAATATTTTTTCTGTCTATACTTAAAAATCTGTTACTCTGTAAGATCTGGGTTTGCATTACAAGATTGCTGTGGCTGACAGTACTTCCATTTTATAATTGTTGTCTCCCTCTGTTCAATCAGAAGTACAGGGAACTCTGTGAACTGCATGTAGTCTCACTGGTTTTTCTCTCCTTTCACTAGAGGGGATGATGAATTCCTTGTTGGCAATAATACAGGACAGTGGATCTCCTCCCCCACTAGTCCACTTGGCTTTTAAATTCCTCTACATCATTACAAAGGTAAAAAAATTCTAAATTTAATGTTCTTTAACTGAAATTAGTAAATTATTAATATTTTCTTTGTTATTTTCAAAAATATTAAAATAAGTGTCTAATGTGATTAAATATCTTAAACTGTATTGTGAAAGATTAGTTCTCTTGTTTCCCATTTTCATGATAGCTTATGTTATTTAATGATCCAGATTAGGAAAAATCAAGGTCTGAATGCAAAAGAAATTGCAGACATGGAGATACTCCGTGATAAAACATGAGTTATAACATTGAAAAGTAAACTGTGATGAGCAATTAGATGAATGTGGAATTTACATTCAAGCACAAGAAAATATTTTGGACAGCCCATGGATGTGGTCCTGGGCACCCTGCTGGAGTGACCCTGCTTTACCAGGGGGGTTGGACTGGCCAGTCTCCAGATGTCCCTTGTTTTGAAGTTAATCATCATTTCATGAATTCTTAATAACTTTGTACAAACACAAATATCACAAGGTATTTAAGACTTTAATTTCCATGCTTACTCTCCTTATGATGTGAGGATCCTAATCAAGAAATTCCTGCAAGGGTCTTTCCTTTCCCCTCAGTAGTGTTGGGTGATTGAATTCTGAAACTTTCTGCTTTAGGTGAGAGGGTACAAACGTTTCCTGTCCCTGTTCCCTCATGAAGTCCGGGACCTGCAGCCCGTTTTGGATATGCTTGCAAAGCAGAACCCAAGAGACCCTGAGGTGAGGACTTGCTGTACTTTTTGTTTATCTTTTATGTCTCCAGTGGAAAAAGCTGAAGGAAAAAATTTGGGGGAAAGTATATAAAGCAGTGACAGACCCTGCCTGGTGTTAACACCTGGATTTGGTGTGAAAATCATCATTTTGTCATGGGAGAAATGCCCCCTCCCCAAGGAGAAGTCTTGGTTTTCTTTCATGGGATTTGCTCCAAGGATTTAGAAGCAGTGGCTGTAGAGGTGCAAGTAGAACCTTTAACCATTCATGTAAGGAACAAATTGATTCTAACTTACAAGAGTAAGAAGAAGGGCAGTGAAAGGCAATGAACCTTTAAAAGGAATAACTGAAAAGTCATCCAGTCTGACTCGAGCATACTGTAGTTTATATTCTTATATAAACTACTTATATATTCATTATTTCCTTATTTTTAAATAAGGAAAAAGAAGAACTCCAGAGAGCTGCTTAAGATAGATGAATTTTCAGAGAAATCATTATCAATTATAACTAACAAAAACCATGGATTTGAAGACAATAATTGTATTGCTGCTCTAAATTAAAGCTGTTTTTTTTTAAAATAAACATCAGTTCTGGCACTTTGCTGCTGTAGGTGTACAGCTTTAAAGCTTGAAAAACTTCCTTCTTCTGAAGTTGTTTTAGTAAACCCATGAAAGCAATACATAAGAAGTTAAGGAGAAAAACATTCTGTTATATTTGTGAGTGGAGGCAGAGATAGGCCGAAGGGAGGAAAAAAACAGGAAAATGGGAAGGTGCAGTTTTCCTTTGGGAAGGAAACAAGGATGCCTAGTTTTCTGATTGGGGGGGGAGGGTCCATTAATTTTGTTACAGTTTTGCTGTTTGGGATGGTTTGTAGTTCTATCTCCTCTGGAGTTTCAGAGCATTCACATTGAGAGTTTTCTCTCACTCATCTTTGGAAGTTCCTTGGAGCCAGGGGGCAGTTTGTGCTCTTGGCACTTCATGTTGCAGAAAATGAAGTAAAAACCCTTCATTTTACCATTCCAGACTTGGGAAACTCGCTACATGCTGTTATTGTGGCTGTCCATGATCTGCCTGATCCCTTTTGATCTGGCCCGTTTTGATGGAAACCTTGTTTCTGTGGAAGGGCAGGCTCGACAGCCAACGATGGATCGCATCCTGGAAATAGCAAAGGTGAGGAAAACACATCCTGTAATGCTTCCAGACCTGGGATATTTGGCACAGTCATTCACTATGTGATAGATACTAATATATTCTCTAGATTCCTCAATAATATTATTTTCTGCATATGATTTAAGCCTGTATTTTTGGGCTTAATTTTGGTGTCTAATCTGTAAAGAATTTTTTCGTACTTCTGGATCTTTACTCTGTTGTTTGCTGCTTTAGAGTCAGGTGAGACTGGAACTTGTCTCCCCTGATGTAATAAACCATTTTATCTGAGGTGAAGCCCTGCCTTTGAATATGTTAGAGGCTTTCAACACTTGAAAGTGTCAGAGAGCTTCTTCTGAAAACCAAGTCTGAGGATTTTTAGAGGAAATCAGTGTTTGATCACAGTGAGCAACTTTGGAAGCTGTGACTCTGTGAGGATTTTTAAGCCAATGGATGAAGTTCCAGTGGGTGTCAGCCCATGTGGCTGACTTGTCATGCCTTTGAGATAAAAATAAACAACCTTCCCCACAGGTATCCCAGCAGCTCAGGCTTTTGACACTCACAGCAGTAAGGGGCTTACTGCTTATAGGCCAATGTGTCTGTGAGTTAAGGCTTCAGGAAATAAACCTTCAGTAATAAATCTGCTTTGAAAAGCACACAAAGGGAGACTGCCTCAAATACAGTTTGTTAAATGGGAAAATTAACTTTCTACTGTCTTTAAGCTCAGTTTGTAATCCTAATAATGACATAATGTGTGTAATCATCATAATATTTTCATGTAAGTATTCAGTAGTGTATTATGTACAGAGTTGTTACATAGCTGGTTTTCTATCTCCATATATGAATTCTTTTACAGTCAGTTTTCTTTTCCCTTTAGTGTTACCTGGTTGTCAGTGACAAGGCTCGGGATGCAGCTGCTGTGCTGGTGTCCAAGTAAGTCTTTTGTGCATCTTGGCAGAAAGGCTCCCATTCCTCCTGCTGTTTCTTAACCTGATGTGTTGGGAGGGCTGGAAGTTGCCAGCTGTTTATGGGGAATTACTGTTGCTTGAATTGGATACAGTAGTGTTTGTTGGGAATACTGATTCCTCTGCACATGAAAATAAATTAAAGACCATAAGCAGGGATAGCACACACATGTCTCTTGTTTCAGTATCTATTCCAGTCCCCATTCCTGGATATTCTAGTGGAAGAGGTCTTCAGTCGGTTCAGTGATTTGGGTTTTTTTTCCTTTCTTTTTAAAGCAGTAAAAGTCCCGAATCTGCACTTCAGCCTGTGCTCAGCAGGGGGCGCTGCCCGCGCAGCTATGGCGCTGTCGCTGGAGGGACAGCGGGACGTGGGGACACAGGGCATGGGGACAGAGGGGCACGGGGCATGAGGACAGAGGGACACGGGACATGGGTACAGAGGGACATGGGAATGAGGGGACACAGTGGGACATGGGGATAGAGGGACACGGGGATGGGGACAATTGGCACACGGGGTCAGCGGGACCTGGGAATGCAGGGATGAAGGGGATGGGGACAGAGGGACAAGGGGACAGTGAGACATAGGAACAGAGGGACGAGGGGATATGGGGACTGTGAGACATGGGGACAAGGGGACCTGGGAACATGGGGACACAGGGATGAGAGGACACAGTAGGACATGGGGACTCAGTGACATTGGGAGATGGGGGCAGTGGGTGCAGGAGAGTCACAGCCATAACACCTGTATTCATATTCTCTGTGTTAAGATGCACTAAATTGATGGGATTAATCAAAATAGTTGCTAAAAACAACATTTAGTAGAGCAGACCTTGTCTTTTTAGGAGGTAACTGTGTGCTTACTTTAAAGTTATTCTGAGCTTCAGTCACAGGACTCAAGGCTTTAGAAATTTATATTTAGTGGGTATAATGCTACATGTCTGAATCTGATGGCAAATCACTTACTTGGTTTAGAATGTCCAGTGTCATGCAGAAAATTCATGAAGGACCTGAGACCAGACTCACAGTTCTCTGGTGACTCATCCTGTGCTTTTCTGGTTTATTCTGAAATATATCAGAGCAAAATTCAAGAGACTGCATGAATTATTTGTGCAGCCTTGAAGAAGTCTTGCCTGTTACATACTTATTTTGACACGGTTTGTCTCCTTATGCTTCCCTGTGAGGGTGCTGAGGCCCTGGCACAGTTGCCCAGAGCAGCTGTGGCTGCCCCTGGATCCCTGGAAGTGTTCAAGGCCAGGCTGGATGGGGCTTGGGGCAACCTGGGATAGTGGAAGGTGTCCCTGCCCATGGCAGGGGGTGGAACTGGATGAGCTTTAAGGTCCTTTTCAACCCAAACCATTCTACGATTGTGTAATTCTGTGATCCTAATCAGTTTTTGTAGACATTTTGGAATCAATAATTAGAAATTGCTGATTATGTATTTGTATGGGTAATCTGCTTTGTCACAGGTTGACAGACACAGAGGATTTGAGATGACAGTGTGACACAGAGTGAATTATTCTTGAACATTCATATAGGCCTTCTTCACTTCCTAAAATCCCAGGAAGTACCCAAATTAACCAAGGGTAATAGATTCTTGCAGGTACACCCAGTACTTGGAAGCCTTCTTAAGTAAGGGTGACAGTAATTTTAAGAGATTCTTTTATCACATTATGCTTAATTGAATTTGCAGTTCAGCTGTACCTCCAGAGTGTCTGTAAAACTAAATTTTGAGTGGAAGCTTACATACAACAACTTTATTGACTGCAGCTTTGTGTTCAGCAGAGCTTTGTGCTCATGCAGGGCTCAGCCCTTGTTTTCAGGGGAATTTCACCAGTGCCCTGCACCCTGACACTGGGTCCTATACAGGCACCTTGTTAGTTATCTTATCCTCTCTTCACCTCTGTTTATTGGCTGAATTAATTTTAATTAGGAGTATATGTTCAGAACAAATATGGTGATAGAATACATTAAGCTGTGCAAGGTAGTAATGGTACCGTATAGTGGATTTATAATTATTTAGTTTATTATGAAAACACCATTTTCAAAACAGCCTGGTGATTAAAAGACTTCAGCAGAAATTAGAAGGCTGGCTCCAAGGCCTTTCCCTGTTTTCACATCCCCACAGCTAGTTCTGAGCATAATCATTCTGACATGAGGTCTCTGTGGTGTCTCCCTGGAGCTGGACTGTTACTTGGGTGGGCAGGAGCACCAACTGTCCTGGGACAGATGGAGAGATGAGATACAGGAGCCTGACTCTGTGGCACACTCTGGGAAGTCTGGGCCCTTGTTTGTGCTCTGAGGAATTTATGAATTTCAAGTGAATTGTAGAAACATCAGGATTCAAGACCTCCTGTTTTCCAAAGTAGGCTGCTTCTCCCAGGGCAAAGGAGCTGGAGTATATTCATGAATTCTCTTTTCTGCCTGCTTAGTGAGTGGTTGCAGTAGGAGGAGATGAGGCTGATCCTTATCCTGCTCTTAGTCTGGAGGTTAGGGCACTCCTTCGGGAAGGAAAGATTTAAACTCCTTGGGGCTGAGGAAGGGTCTAGGAACCAGCTCAGCCACTTCACAGGTCACTTCTCTGGTGTGTGCCCTGGGGCCAAGGGCAGCTTCATCCTTCAACCCAAAACAACCCTCCTGCAGCTCACCCCGAGCCCTCATTGTTCTGTTGCTGAAGCCAATCCATCCCATCAGCTCACTGTTGGGGTGTTCTCTGTATTGAATATATTTAATACCCCATCAGTCAGCTCTTGGTGCTGTTCCTCAGTTATCTGTAGGTGCAGGAAGGATCCAGGTCCTGGCTCTGGGGCACATCCTCTTTGAATTCCCTCAGATGTTCTGAGTGGGCTTCCCCATGTGCCTTGTTTCCACTGGGTGTGTTGAGAACAAATACCTGAATCACTGCTGGAGCAGGACCGGGTTTGTAGGTGCCAGGACACTGAAGTGATGCCCTGACTGCAGCTTGGCTGCTCAGGGGAGGGCTGAGAGTAGATTCATGGTAGTTTAGCCACGATAAACCTCTTTTCCCTTTTCTAAGATGGCTAAAAACATGTCTCTTGACCTGTCTGGTGTGTTAAATAACAGGTGCTTGACCTTTTCAAATATCTGAAACGCAAACATAGCCCTGCTGGTTGCTTGTTCTGGGCCTGGCTTCAGACAGACAGTGCAAAATGGACCCAGTGCTGATTTCCACTGATTTTCAGATTTTCAAAATGGCTGTTTTTGGTGAGAGAAGTGAAAAATCCTCCTATTTATTTCAGCTTTTTACTAATTCTAATAGAAATAATGTCTTAAAAGCTTTGGAAACTTTGTTGTTTTGCAATTAAGATAAGAAATTTCTAGTACCCAAGTTTTTAACTGGGTTTGAAGTGAAAGTGAAATTCCAGATCAGAGCCTTGCTCAGAAACAGATGGGCTAAACATAGGATGGTTTGGCGTGTTCTCACCCTCAGTGATTTGGGGAAATAACACATTAAAGAATTGCTTCCAGGAAGTACAGCCAGTTTGGATAGGAGGAAAGATTGTTTTTCATTGGGTGGCATAAAGTCAATGGCTGCAATGTTTTTTTTCCTTTGACAGGTTTATTGTCCGCCCTGATGTCAAGCAAAGCAGGATGGCAGATTTCCTGGACTGGGTGCTCTCCATGTTAACCAAATCTTCCTCCCAGACCATGGAGGGCACTGTCATTCTCAACGGCATGCTCCAGGCCCTGGTAAATACTGGTTTTCCATTAAAAGATACACAGTTGGATTTGTTGCCATCCTATTTTGTTACAGGAGGCCTTTGATAGCAAATGCAAAGAAGGGTTCCTGGCAATTAAAAAAGGAGAATTTCCTCCACAGCAGTTTAGACAATATAACTTCCCATGTATGTACATTTTCATTTTTTTGTCATCCCCAAATGATAGTAAAATTGCCAGTGCAGATACTCATCAATAACTCTCCAAGTAGCAGTCATTTTTGTAGGTTTGGGTTTATTTGCTAATCTGAGTGAATTTTTTGTTTAATGCCCTTTCCTTGTGAATTGATAATGGTGTGTGACTCAAAAGAGCTGAATTCTTAGTTTGGGTTTTAAAATAGACATACTGTGCATGGGAAAAAATATGCAGTACCTGAACTGCTGTTCCAGGGCAGTGCTCCTCTTGTACATCCTAAGAAGGGCTATTTATAAAAGCTCTGTTGTAGTTTTACACCCTTAAAAGTGCTGGGGTGTGTTTTGAAATCCTGGGGTGACAGATCTGGTGTCTGTGCCAGTTTTGATGTCCGAATATATTTGGGCAGAATGGAGGTGTTTGTGTGGGTGGAGGAGTTGTTCCTTCTTGGTTTGGTTGTTGACCAAGGCAGTGCAGGTGAAGACAGATCACGAGCCCTTGTGCAGTCTTTGCAGTTGCACAGGTTTGAGGATTTGCTGGTGTTTGTACAAGTTTTGACAATTTGCATAAATTTGCTGCTCTTTTTAACCAGTCGCTAAGAGGACTTGTGTGCTGTGTTGTAGTAAACATCAAAGCAAAGGTCTGCAGCAAGTGTGTGGGGTGTGGGTTTTTTTGGTTGTTTCTTTTTCCTCTCCAGCTCTTCCAAATCAGAAGGGAGAAGAAATGATCTATATTTAGAATAACTGAGGACCTGCTGCTCAAGCAGGAGGAAGCGTTATTTGTGTGCATTGCAGCGTTTCAAAAGACAGAATGATGTTTCATCATTTTATTGTCAGATCTGGAAAGGGAGACTGCCTGTTTGCCATTCCCGGGGCATGATGAGACCTGCAGGATGTATAATGCATTAGTGTTTTGTCATAATTCCTTTGAGTTTGGCTTTGGCTCCATCCACCTGTTCATTAGTGCGCACTAAGCGAAACAGGTGAATACTCAACAAGTCGAATCGAAACCAGAATGTGATACAATAGACCTGGGAGCAGATCCTGCTGCTTTGCTTTTCTGTGATTTTTTTTTTTTACCTCTCCACAGCTCATACCTCCTGTTCCAGTTGGTAGATATGAGCAGATTTGTAAATCCTTTTCTTGAATTTAGTCTTCAATTTCTCCTTTCAGTCACTACAATGAATTGTATCATTAGGGAGTAAAGGTTTTCACAATGGTATGTGTGCAGGTATGTGTACGTGTAGGTGCTTAAGGGGAGCAGGAAATATTTATTTCAAGAGTTAAATGTTACAAATATTATATTTAATTACATGTATTCTTAATATTTTTATATTAAGAAGTTTGTCTCACACTTGTAGCAACACTGTGTTATCAAAAATACCAGCTGAAAATAGATGTTCAAAATAAGTAAACACTTGTCTTTAACATACAAGATTCTAGCTTTATACAGTATATAATATATTCTATTTATTCTATAAATAATACAATCTATTTTAACATAACAAGTAACCACTAAATGTGTAATACAGAGCACATCATCATGAGGGGCAACTGAAAGTTGTGGCAACAAGTTTAGAATTCTTTGCCCTTTGATTCCTCCAGCACTTTGTTACTTTATAAGAGTCAAACAGCAGCTGCTTGGCCATCTCTGTGAGCAAGCAGGAGAAAAAAGACCATTCTTCAGTTTCTGGTCAGTACAGCAAGGTGGGTTTTGGGCTTGTGACAGGTTTTGGGAATGATGTGACCTGCCAGAGTGGGAATAAAAAGTCTCCACATCGAAGTGGAGTGGGGCTGCCCTGAACAGGGTGGGCTTTGTGCCTCTCATGGTCGGCATTTACTGAACGGCTCCGAGTGAGGCTGACGTGGAAAAATTGCTCGGAAAAGACACGAAACTCCTGCATTTCAATGAACTGAAACTGCAAGTCAGGGACGCAGTGAGTAGTTGGCCGTGGCTGCACTTTGATCTGCCTCTTCGTGGCCGTGAGCCTGGCTGATCAGGTGTGTGCTGCTGTTTCATCTCACTCAGCGTTCTGTGCAGAACGAGTCCGGCCGTTCCGCAGCTCCTGTCGGAACACGCAGCCGGCGTTGCATATTGTAATTGCACTGGGGCCTTTGGCTCTCTGCTCCCTTCCACCTGTCCTCAGTAACTCACCATTTCCCAATGAGGGGCACCAGCAGGCACCTCTGCTGACACCATTTCCAATTCAGTGTTCCAAACTGCCCTCCTTGGTTCAAACCTATGTTGTGCTATGGCATTTAATTTGTCCTTGTGCTCCTATTCTTTGGTGTTTGAAGGACTGAAAATATTGGATTATTAAGAAATTGCTACTTCTTTATAACATTTGTTTACTTGAAGGAAACTTCTAGCTCTAGTTTCAAGAATCTGCATTTTAAATTCTCTTGGTCTGGAGGTTTGCTTTTAAACCTGCCATTATATCAAACAGCTTTTTAGTTATCGCTGCAGGGCGCAGCACTCCCAGTTCTTGCGTGACAGAGATGTCATCACGTTGAGGTAGCCTTGGGCATTGAAACTTATTAAACCTTATTTGTTTTATAAGTGATTCAGTATACAAGTGTGAGTAATAATTAAAAAAAATAAAACGCCCTACACAGTGATCTGATGAAACTCGAGAGTCTTAAGAACGAGGCATTTCCCTGAGCTGTCTCTAATGCAAAGGTTATTTAGCAATAGCTACATGCTTATGTAAATTTGGCTCCAGGGAAGAAAGAACTCTCTAACTCCATTCTTTCAGACCCAGAGGCACAAAAATAGAATATTTCCAAATAGAATGTTTCCCAAGTCTCTGTATTTTTTGCATTCTCAAAGAATTGGCTGTATTAGGATTGTCTATTGGCATTATTTTTTTCAAAAGGGGCTTGTTGCTTAGTGGTTTGCTGATAAAGGTGCAGGAAAAGCAGTGTTGGTGAGAGATAAAAATGTTCTTATGTCTGCAGGTGCCAAGGGCACTGTCTGCTTTCTGCTCATGCTATTTCTCTCCTGACTGTCATGGAGTATTTCTTCTAATGTGGCCTTGTCTGATACTGCTGGGTTTTTCTCTTCTCACGTGAAGTTTTGTGGTTCATTCAAGGTTCAGAAGTTCTGTTATCATAAAGCTGTTTATTTTTCTTGTTAGAGCGTAGATCTCAAGCTGCTAATTTTTTTTTCCTTCTGAGTGTTTAAAATCCGTGGGTTTTGGTAGTCTCAAGATGGAAAGGAAATACTCTGTCAGCTCTCTGTGTGTTAGTCTAAACATTTCAGATGTTCAGCTGATAAATAACAGGGATCACATGAAAGCTGCCATCACTGTGTTGGTGTCTGTCAGCGATCGTGTCATGTTGATGCTCAACACCCAAGCACGTGTGGCCCACAGCAGGAATGCTGCTTGTGTGGAGGCACAGTAGGAACAAGGCCTTCAGCTAACCCATTTTACCATCAGCTGCATGTAGAATGCATTAAATACTCCCTCTTTCCAAGTGAACTGCAGTTCTGCCAGCATGTTGTCTCTCCCTGCCCCTGGCCGGGAGGCAGGGATGGTTGGTGGCATTCCCGGGGTGTTGTGTGGCTACCAGGGGGTGCTCCAGAGCAGCGCAAGGGATCATTTCCTGCTCTTCCCAACGAGGCTGGAATTATCCTCCCAGTCCTCCTCCTGGTTACAACCAGAGGGTAGATCCAGACTGGTGTCTCCTGCTCGGCAGGAAGATCCACTCACTCCCCACCAGCCAGGCCACCCCTCATGGTGATTTGTGTAGCTTGGGGAACAAGTCCTGGAGATGATCCCGACTGATAGATCTGCTGCAGGTCGGGCCCAAAGTGGGTTATGCAGACAATTGGCAGGTGTGGTGTCTCTACTGGGATTATTAAGAAACTGGGCTTTGTTTGCCTTGCCCTGTGCTGTTTCTAAAGCAGAACCAGACTTGACAGTCGTCATTGCTTGCACACCACTGATTTTCTCTAATTTGTAGGTGGCTTAATTATTTATAAGAGAGGGAGTCACATACTTTTCAACAGTTCAGCAGGTTGGGTAGGTTGGTGTGTGCTCTGTGTCCTTGTTAGGCGAGGAGCCCGTGGCGTAACTGCGACTGCCGGGATGCTCCGACAGGCAGGCTCCTCGTGCTCAGCACTGCTGACACCAAAATGCCTGTGCAGGTGGCAAACCAAGCTTATTAATTACTTTGTTTGTATCAGATTTTTGGAAATGGTGTGCCTTGGATATTTTTCTTCCTTCAAGGCAGGAAGTTTAAGCTGGGTACTGTAATGCTGATTTGCCCTTTTTGCTGATTTTTTTTTTTCCTCATTATTTTAATTTATGTATCATGAGCATTTCTTTTTTAGTATGACTCCTGTAAGCTCCAGCTTTACAGAATTTTTCTGGAGGAGTAACTTTGCTGTACGTGCCTGACTGTTTGTAGCATGTGCTGAAAGAAAATATTTTTTCTGCTTTCCCAAAAGCCAGCATTGGTTAAAGTGTTCCTTTATTTCCTTTGGGAAAAATGTATCTATTACACTCAAAAGTTTTAGGGATTTGGACTTGGAGATGCTTTTGCATGCTTTGACTCATAAATAAATAAATAACAAACTTACTGTCTTCTCCACACTCAGATAAAAACCCCAGACACTGTATTTCCTGCTGTGTTGAATATTTGAAGAGTAGTTCTCAATAGTTTGGCTGTTACTTATTTACTTCTGTAAAATTTATTTTAAAAATGGCTGCTAAACTTCTCTGACACAGAGAAATACCCAATGTATCACTTGTAGAACTGCTCCAAGGTTGTAGCTGACCCCCAGTGCACCTCAGTGGGTGCAGAAAGAGCCTTCTTCCCATTCAGACATTTGGCATTTCCAGCTGTGGGTAACATATTTTATTGATCAAAAGTCAAGTTAATATTATGGCCCTTTAAAAAGTGTTTAGTTATTAATTCAAATAAATATTTTTTATTGATTAGCTATGGTGTCCTTTGGGCAATTTTTACTTCCCCTAAAAATTCATATTGATAAAATTCCTTAATCCAAATCTCAGTTGATATATAGCTGTTGCCACAATGATTTTGTTACAAAATGTTAATTATAAATCCCTGTAGTAGGAGTAGATGTTGTGTGTTGAAAATAGTTTAAATTTTAGTGAAGCTGCTCTAGGGAGATTATGTGTTTCACTTTTTTGTTCAGAAAATAATAGAAATGGTTGTGAAATGGAATCTGCCGAGGTTGCTGTTCTAAACTGATTCATAGGTGTGTGAGGAAAAGAATACAATAAAAATACTGTGCAGTATTTGAATTTTTTTCATTTCCTGCTTGAGTGTTGGTTGATTCCTTTCTACATCTCAGAGGTGGCACCTTCCAGTTGTGTTGTTCCTGAAGAGTCAGAACTTAATTCAGACTTGGACTCAAGGGTGTGAAAACAGACGGAGAAGCTTGGAGAAAGGTGCCAGAATTTAGGAACTACAGACTGAAAATGGTGTTTTGGTGTTTTGAGGATTCTGTTCCACCTCCCCAGCAGTGTGCTGAGGGCACACATCCGAAGGTGTTTGTCCAGGAGCATTCCCAAGGATCTGTTAAAAAGCTGTTTGTTACATTATATCTGCTGGAGGAATTACACTGTGCTTTGTTCCAATATGCTTGAATATAATAATAATATTTTGGTGGCAGTCTGTGCGTGCCTTAAAAACAGTGTTTGCTGTTAAGTTAGGCAGAAGGGAGAAGGAGTTGTGAGGATGCAGGGAAGGAGTTTGGGAGGATGCAGGGAAGGAGTTGTGAGGATGCAGGGATGCTGCTGTGTCTCCAGCATCCACAGGAAGTTGTGTGGAGAAATGAGTGATGGGGTTTTGAAGCAGAACACAGGCACAAAGTGTTGAAATGAGTTTCTGCATGTTTCAACAAAGATAGAAAAATTTTAAAGGAGCTCTAGGTTTGTTATACCAAAGATTCAAAGATCCTCTGATGTATTTTTTTTGACTTTTTAGTACAAGCAGGGTTTTGTTGGTATGTCAGTGAGAAATTTTTGTACTGTTTTTAACACTGACTTCAGATATTGCTAAAAGCTGTACCAATTTATACATTTAAAGTGATACTTATTTCTGTTGGCTGGGCCTGAAGTCATTCTGTTGCATTGCTGCTTTATAAATGTCATTTTTAAGGGAACCCTGACATTTGCCTCCATTAAAATCTCAGATACTTTGATATATAGTATCAAATTCCCATATATAGCTTGAAGTGGAGCTGATCAGCAGTGTTAATTTGGGAGCCTGAAATGCAATTTAGTAACAAACCAAAACAGGCTGGGCACACAGCCCCAAGGTGTTTTTCTTGCCTCTGCTGCTCACAGCCACGCCTGCAGCGCGGGAGGCATGTGTGTGTGTTTGGTATGTGTGAGAAAGTACCTCTTTTTAGGGGAAGTCTGTTCTTGTTTAACTCCCAGGCATATTTATTGAGGAAGATTTTGCTCTGGTGAGTGCCAGAGCAAAGACAAACAAGTGCCTGGCCAGAGTTTTGATGCATGGGGAGCTGAGGAAGCTTTTAATGTGTAACGTGTTCTGTCAGGTGTTAATAGTCCCTTTGTCTCGCTGCAGTGCTGGGGCTTAATCTCACTGGGATATTTAGCTGCAGATAAAATTCCCTGGGCACAGCAATTGCAGCTGGCCTGCTGGAGGTGTATTAGCAGGTGTCTGTAGGTGGTTTTGTCTCTCACAAGCTGTGGTTGCAGCACACTGAGCTCCTGTGACCCAGCACTGAGCCTGATGGGTCAGGGACCTGAGCTGGCCCCATACTGATGACCTTTTCCTTTCCTCATTTTTTCTGTTTTGTTTTAGTTTTTTTTTTCCCATTTTCCCTTGAGTGTTTTATGGCCACCTCAGTCCCCTGAGCTGTTACCAAGAACTGCACCCTGAGACTCTTCTTTTCACGTTATTTAAATCGGCAAACACTACACTTCATTGTAAGAACATTAAAAATATTTTAGAGCTAAGCGCTTGATATATTGTGTTATAGAATCTCTGTATTCTCATGTCTGTGTTCCCTATTTTCATTGTAGGCACAGCTGTTTAAACATGGCAAGAGAGAAGACTGTTTACCATACGGTAAGTTTGTCATAGCCTGGGTTCTGTTTTTCAAGCCATTGCAGTAGAAAAAGGAAAGGAAAATGAACCTGGTGGCAAGTGGTACTGTGAGGAGTGAAATCCACAGGGCAGTGATAAAGCAGGGAAAATGAGGGGAGGAGAAACAGAAATGACTGTGAGGGAGGAGCAGATGCCACCAGGGAATGTTGTGTTGGAACAGCACATCAGAGGATTTGGCAGGACATCACACTGGCCATTGCTGTAATACAGGAGCTGAACACAGAACACAGAAAGTGTTATATGTGGAAAATATTTGTTTGAAATTCAGTTGAGCCTAAATGGTTTTGTACATATTACAAAGTTTTGTGAAAGTTTTGCAGAGACACTTCAAGCACAGGATTTAAGAGAACCCAAGTTTTAAGAACCAGCTGTGTACAGGACACAGCTGGACTCATGTTGGGATAATGTTGGAATAAGAGAAGTTTTTTTAGTGAAAAGAGATTATACTGGGTGCACAGGAAGCCAAATTATACAGGAATTAGACAGGAAGCCAAAAAGAGAAAAAAGAGAGTATGGAGATTTCTGAATAGTGTAGCTGCATTTTGGAATTATGTTTGTCTTGGGGTGAATCTTGAAATACGATCAGTCTGCAGTGTGATCTTGGACCTTATTGATAGCAATAAAGGGAGGCAAGGAAAGATTATGGCTAATCCCAAAGCACTACAGGAGACCTCTCAGTTTTGTGGAGTTTATTCAAGTACCAGAAAGGGGGTTTGTGCCATTCACAGGAACCAAGCAGGGATATATACTCACTTCAGACTGTTTGTGATTTCACTCATGGAATTATTTTGGCCCTTAGAAGAAGATTTTTATTTTTCTGGTGCTGGAGTCTCATTCTCCCAGTTCCTAAGGCTGAGATGCAGACACTTCCTTAGAAAATGCCTGAGAGATGGGTAATGATGGAGATAAGATAGTGAAGACAAACAGCATGGAATGACACAGGTGCAAATACTGGAAATGCCATTGCACAGGAATAGCAGAGTCCACTGGGGAAGCTGCCAGAGAAGCATAAAAATAAACAGGCTGGGAAAATTACAGTGTAACAGAAAATGACAGAATTTAGAAAATACCACTGTATAGCAGAATAATCAGTGTGGAAGGAGCATATTGAGCTCACAGCATTAACCCTGCTGGTAAAATCAGAAGCTTTGGCTCATGGCATAGAAAGAATAGTAAGTAGTTATGAGTCTGGTAATAAGAGAAAAATCAGGGGCATATCAATGAATGAATTTGCCCTAGAAAATCTAGAATGCTCACAGCTGAGAAGCAGATATTTATATGGGAACTGTTCAGAAAAGAAAATGTGAGAGACAGAAAGTATCTAAGATTTTTAATTATAGCAGATCTGAGGATGAAATAGGAAAAAAAAAATAGGCAAATGTCAAAGCAAGATCCTGTTTGAAGTCACTTGTGACATAGAAGTTGAATTAAAAACAAACACTAGCCCTGGAGTAATTTACATGGGTCTGTAGATATTTTTGTGATTCAAGAGCTGGCAGGACTTGGAAGAGGCCTTTATTTATATATTCTTAATTTATTTTCTGTCTGAGAATGATGATGTTTCTGCAGCCTCTTCCTCATAAACTATCAGTCTCTTGGGCTTTTCTAACTGCAAAAAATCCAGGTTGCTGGAAGGTATTGAAGTAATAATAATCATCACTGGCTTGTCTGCATGGATTGTTTCATTTGTATTTGAGTACATCAAGATGCATCACCAGTCCTTTTAAAGGCTTGAGGAGATTTGTAAGTTGTGTCTTACAGTCTCAGACTTTGAAATAATTGTGTTTTCTTTGATCTCTCTGTATTTTGAACCCCCTGATATGAGACTGGGGAAGGAGGTTGCAGAGCATTTGGTTGCTGTGGTTCCATCTGAAGCACGGTGGCTCTTTCAAAACCTGAGTCATTAGTCTCCATTAGCTAATGGTCAGCTTCTGAAGAATTATTTTCACCCTAATGAGACTGCAGAAGGGCTTTTCTATTTGTAACATCCATGGCTTCCTTGTGAAAATTTTGAATCCTGGAACTTTATCCTCATTAACCCAAGATTCTCCTTTCTCTGTGTTTTTTTAACTTGCTGGACAAATAACTTTGTTGCCTTTGATGTGCCCAAATGAGAGGTTTCATGGCTGATTGTTTACACATCCACAGTATTTCTCATGTCTAAATGTTTCTGGACATCCATCATCATTAAAATTTTGGTGTCAGGATTTGATGCTGCCTAAATGAAGAAAGGGAAAGCTTCTGCAGTGTGCAGGAAATCTTCTGAGTAAATGAATTACATTTCCTAGCTGCTGGTTCTGTTAGATTGCTGAAAATTCTCAGACCCTGAAAGACATTTGGATGTGCTTCCAGTGAGAATCAGAGGCATAAACCCTCTGAGAATGTAGATTATAATTTTCATAATCAAAAATAATCTTAAAGCCATCTCCCATGCCTGGGCAGTGAAGGATATTGCCACTATTTGACCAGTGTCATCACTACAAAGTAGGTAATTGGGCATTTGTATTTCAGTAATGCCTTTAAAAATATAAATCTCCTAAAAAATGTCCTAAACTTTAAAATATTCATACCAAGGTGTTTTTAAAAGCAGTTTTTCTGGTGTGTTTTCTTTTACAGCTGCTACTGTTCTTGAGTGTCTTGATAACTGCAAGCTGTCAGAAAGCAATCAGATGGTTCTGCGCAAGCTGGGCATGAAACTGGTCCAGCGACTTGGACTGACTTTTGTGAAACCAAAGGTAGCAAAGTGGAGGTCAGTTTAAAGTTAAAAAAATGAAAATCCAAAATCACAAAACCCACTACAAATATATAAATCCATACATTCGCTTTCTGCCCCTCTTAACCTTCCCTTAAAGAAAAAGAAATCCCTGTGGGAATGAACATACTGTCCATTTGCATTATTTGGAAAAAGGAGGATTCTTCCACTGCATTTAGTTTCCTGTGGTTTTTTTTCAATTTTGGTACATAAGAAAGTGCTGGGAGAAGCCAAATCTGACTTTGCACATTGCACAAGCAGAAGCCTGTTCCTATATAATGCATAACTCACTAAATATGGGAAGACAGCGACCTTTGTTCCTGAAGCTGATTTAGTACAATTTTGTAAGAGTGAACATAACTTTTTCCATTACCTGGTCCTACCCTGATTCGATAGAAAGTTCACAGGGGAAAAGTGGTTTGCAATCCCGCTCTGGTTTTGCATATTAGTCAGGTTTTGGTGTCTGGTTTTACGTACTGCCGGAGGGCAAACTCTTTTTTAGATTTCTCGCACTGATATTTTAAAATTGCAGGCTCCCTTGGTGACTATTTTTATTGTATTTATTTTACCGGCTTTTGAGAACATCCTTAGGCATAGAAAATTCTTTTTAGGTGGAGAGTGTGCCTTGCCCGATGGCAAAAGTCAGTTTAGCATGTAAAGTCTATCTTTTGTAAGAATGCATCTACACCACGGGCTAAATATTTGAGTACAGCTTGGTCAGAAAGTACTAAGCTGGCTTTGAGATTTAAAAAGCAATTTTTAATAAGCTGATTTTATTAATTTTTTTTTATTATTTATTTTTTTTAGTTTTTGGAGAGACTTTTGGGGCATGGGAATTTTGTCTCTCTTTGTTGTTAGCAGTGGAAAATAGGTTATAGTGAAACAGGAAAGGGAGGGATAATGAAAAGGAACTATTTGAATAGTCTGGCTCTTCTCACTTTGGAAAATAGACAACTGGGTCAGGAGCAGGGAGAATGGGATATTTCTCCCTTTCCTTTAAAGCAGCCACTAAATAACTGGAGAGCTGTGCCCTGGGAGGGGCAGGAAGGTGGCAGACAGACTTTGTGGCAGCTGGAAGTTCAATCACAGAAATCACTGAAGTGTGTGTTTGCTGTGCAGGTACCAGCGTGGCCGTCGGTCTCTGGCTGCCAACCTGCAGGCTCAGGGGGCAGCTGTGCAGAACCAAAAGAGAGAAGTTGCTGCTGCTGAAGCTGATGATGATGATGAGGAATATGACATTCCAGGAGAGATTGAAAACGTTGTAGGTGTGTTAAAGCTGGAGAGAAATCGTTGCAATGCTGCAAATTAAACATATGTTGGAAAACGATCTGCTTGGGGCTAAAAAAGTCATGTGGGTATCTCTGCTAGTGTGAGCAGCTGGAGAGACTCTAAAACTTCAATCTGTGCAGCTGATTAAAATAGATGGTGCTTTGTCAAATGGTTTGGATTTCAGCATCTCCATCAGAAACTCAGTATTGGAACATTTGTTCTGGAGATGGCCGTGGAAGTATAAACATACTGAAATATGTTCTACCAGTTTTATCCAGTTACATAAAAGAGATGCCCTGATGGAATGGTGAATTCAAATTTATAATGGAATACACAACAAAAAAATAAGTCGCATAAAAGCTAAAGAATTATGGTTTAATATTTAGACTGTGCTAGTATCAAAGGAACAGCATTTGTTTCTTAATATGCAGTTGTACAGCATGTCCTCTGCTAGCTGACTAATGGATATTCTGTAAATAAATAGGCAAAAATTGCATCAGAAGACTTTTATAACTGAATAATCTAATGAACCTCTACAAAAAGCACCATGACCTCCATTTTGAATGTTTTACAGCACTTAAAATTTCAATCTCTTTTTTAATAAACAGTTCTGACATATTTCTTCTTTTTTAATTTTAAGTCATACTTGTATGACAAATGGAGTAAATGTAGATGCAAAGATTTTTATACAAAGAGGCAAATGAATTTTGAACATCTTAAGAAATTTTTCTCTTGTTAAATAAAAATAATCTGTTGGTTTTTTTTTAAAATAAAATTATTTGCAGAACAATTGTTGGTTGGCCTGAAAGACAAAGACACCATCGTCAGGTGGTCTGCAGCCAAAGGGTGAGTCGTGTTGTGGCTCTGGTAAGCTGTAAACAGTACAGAAATACAGTGGGATCCATGATTGATAATTTGGGTGTATTGCCAATATTTGCTGTTACTGCAAATGGCTTTAGCACAGCCTGTGGTGGGTGGGTGCACAGACACATTTCTCTCTTTAGCTGGTGAAAACTCAGGTCAGTTTTCAGGTAATTTCAGGTGGATTTGGAAATAGTCATTCTGGGTGGGACAAGATTTGAAGGGTGCAAAGAAACATTGCTTCAAAATGCTTTTTTCCTCTTTCTCTTTTAAAATGCATTTCTGTGGGAGGCTCACTGCTTTGTAGTTTTTTTTTTAAAGTTAGAGAATGTTGTTTAAGGGTACCAGTCTTAGGGCAGTGGGGTGGCACCTTGAATTCAGGAGGATTCCAGTAACTAATTTTTTTTCTATAATTTAAATCAATAATAAATAGTACTAATGATCCATTGTATGCCTTTTTTCTTCTTCTTCTTCTGTAGAATTGGGAGAATAACTGGAAGACTTCCAAAAGAATTAGCAGATGATGTGATTGGGTCTCTGTTGGACTGTTTTAGGTAAAAATCTTATTTCACACATTACACTCATCTAAAATGTCTGCTTGTGGAATGGGGGGACAACAGTTAGGAAGAAAAAAAATCTGAATCTAAAAATCTGTAGATTTTCTTGCTGTTCTTCTCCCAGACTTCAAAATCTTTGAAGACACAGATGGGTTAAAGGTATTAAATAAATTATTTCTGATCCATCCTCTTGACCCCATACTAAGATAATGTGCAAGGACTGAAGCTGAACTTAAGAAAGATAAAAAAATGCTCAGTAACTTACTACTTTAGAGGTTCCTGGTGTGCTCAAGACTCATGTCTTGAGTATAGTGTCCATCCTTAGAAACTCAATAGAACTGGAAGTGATGTTCTGAGGTTCACCAGAGGTGAGACTCAGTCTGTGTGAGGGGAGGCTGAAACATGTAGGGAGAGTGAGGAATAAATAGGGTAGAATAGAGATTTATGCACTTGGGAATGGTGTGGATGTGATTGCCCTGGCAGGTTTATAATAGAGTGGTATTATTCACACAGTTAAACTGTAAGAACTTCTTTGCCATAGCACCTTGTGGATGCTGAGAATATTTACCTGAACAAAAAGTGTGCTGCTTGTCTGCAAACTTCTCCATGATCTGCCAGAGTTTGTAGTATTTTGTAGAGTGTTGCAATGTGCTGGTTCTTTAACTCTGGCTAAGGATTCTGCTGTTGGCTGTGTCAGACAGGATTTGGGGCTGGTGGAAACTCCAGTTGGGGCACACAGAGCTGTGGGATGTTCTTTTCGTGCACTTTAACTTTGGATGTCATGGCTTTGCATTCATGTAGAGCACGTTAAGGACAAAATCATTAAACAAGTATCACGTGCTTTTGTTTAATACCAAGTTGCTCATCACACCTGCATTGAGTACCTGAAATCTAAACAAGTGGTTTAGAGCAAGCCAATAACAAAAAGATTTTCTTTATTGGTAAGAAATGTTGGTCATGTGCAGTTTGTCTCTCAGACGTCCCTAGTTTTAAATAATATTTGCACATTGATTGTGAGTACAAATTAAGGATGCCAGCTCAAAGGATAACACATTAGAAAAAAAGAATAGTATGAAGTCTGAAAGACTTGCAAGGAAAGTATCCACTTAGATGATCCCTCCACTGTGTTACTGTGATTAATTTAAGAGGTGCTGCTGATCTCAATTATCCCTGGAGCTTCAAAGACCTATACTCACTGTGTTTTCTTTCCTTGTTTTTCAAGTCACAGGGATGAGTAATTCAAGTAGTAATTGAGTGACCTGCTTTCTTCAGAAACACCTGGGAACAAACGTAGGCAAGGACAGAGAGAACCTTTGTTGGATTCTGTGCACTAAATATCTAGTGACCAAAATAGGAATAAATCAGTTGCTCATCACAGGCACTCTGTTACACCTCTGGGGATAAAAAGAAAGGATTTTGTTATATGCAGACATATCAAAAGACAAGAGTCAGGGAAGAAATAAGTGATGATTTGTCACAGTGTAGTGAGATTGCCAGCACAGTTCCACTGGGGTATGAGCCTTGTGTTGTTCAACATACACATAAATAATCCTGGAAAAAAGGGGAATGAGGGGTTGAGGAAACCAGCTGATGTTTAAAGTTGATTTAATGTAGTGAGAGCTGAAAGTGACAGAAAGAAAAGTGTTACAGGAGCCCAAGTGAATTAATAAGACAGTAAATGTCATATAAAATATAATGTCTAATGCATGCAAACTGATGTACTTGGGGCAAAATGCTGCTCACTGTCAAACCCATGAAGCCACTGATCTGTCAGAGTGTGTCAGGGGAGTGCTCAGCAGCTGGCAGGGAAAACAAGACAAATGTAATGTTGGAAATCATTAGGAAAGGAAGAGAAAAAACTAAATCACTGAAAAGTGGTTTAACTGATGGGGCTTTTTACAAGTGGGAAGGAAAAGTGGAGGGGTGTGATTTGCTGTATCTCCATTGTAAACAGGCCAGAAGGAGGGAGAGCGAGCGCTGTTTACGATTCACTCTCTCCCTGGTGCCAGAGCAGGGAAGCAGCAGGAAGTGCATTTCCACGCAATTATAATTAACCAGTGGAAGTCATTGCCACGGGATGTTATGGGAGCCAAAAGTGTAAAGGGAGTTCAAAAAGGGATTATACAAATTAATGGAAGAGAGTCCCTTCAGAGATTATTAAATAATGAATCCAGGTCCAGCCTCAGCTTGAGCTGTCTCTGTGATTGTCAAGGCCAGGAGGGCAAGAAGGGGATGGTCCTTCCTGCTTCTCTTGGGCTGAGCACCTGCTCTCAGGCCATGTCAGAGATGGTGGTGGGGGAGATGAAGGTTTGATACAACCTAGCCTGGCTGTCCAGCTTTTTATTCCCTACTTCCAATGTAATACAAGATTAACTCTGTTCAAATTTAATCCTGCAGCATGCCACCTTTCCTCTTTTCACTCCATTATCTGCCAGCCCACTAAAAATCATTTACCATTTGGGGTTTTTTTTGCTGTGTTCACTGCAAGTTTCTCTGATTTATCTTTTCTAAAGGTGGATAAAAACCACTATTTGCTTATTTCATAAACTCTTGTAATGGGTTTGCCAGGAATTGCCACTTGAGCCTCTTTTGCAGATTAAGGGCTGCATTTGGCACTAAACTCATTAGTTATTTTGGGTAGGTTCTGTAAATCTGGATCTCTTGCCCATGTACTAGAAAGTTGTTTTCCTTTTCTGTATGAGTTTCAGGTATTGAATCTTCTGTATTGAATTACATTTATAGTCATAAATAGGTTTTTGCTTATTTAACCGTATTTATAGCAGTATTTATGTTGCATAAATGGGAAGGAAAACATGTTCAACCTGTCATTCTTCTATTTTACAAGTCTAGTGGCATCAATAACACAGTAAGAACACACTGGTTTGGGTTAGGGGTCGTTTAAAATGTTAGGAATTCACCATAAGAAATGAAATATTGAGAGGGAAGGCCAGTTTTAACAAAACTTCTTGTTCTGATATTAGTTTCCAGGAAACAGACAACGCGTGGCACGGTGGGTGCCTGGCCCTGGCTGAGCTGGGCAGGAGAGGATTGCTGCTCCCTTCCCGAATTTCAGATGGTGAGTTGTATTTGCTGAATATAAGTTCATGAAATAACAATTTATATTATTAGGCACCAAATGTGTGGCAATAGACTGGGATTTGCTGATGTGTGTGTGCGCTGGATGATGACTGAAGTACTGAGTTCTGCAGTAAAACATTCGCCCATGGGGATATTTAAGTACTTCTGTCTAAAGCATTGGCTTGGGTGTGCCTTTTTTTACACTTAATAAATATTTCTTTCCAAAATGGAATTAATTTCTTGGGGTTTTCTTCTTTCTTCTTCCCTCCCATGTTCCTTTGTACAGTTGTATAAAACAATTCTGCATGTCTCCATATTGTGTCAGTGTCATTATTTAAGCAGACTATATTAAATAATTGATGACTAACTTGCACTTTAAAGCTAGTAGCTTCTGCTGTTTGTTTATGGTTAAATTTCAAAGGCCAGTTTCATGTAATTTATACATGAACTGTTTATGTTTTAAATGGATTTTTGAAATAGCAGGACGGAAAGAGAAAGAACAGGGCAGAGAAATTGTTTCTTTGTGTGTTCTGTAGTTAACACCATACATTGAATATTACAGAGATATTAATGTATTTTTGGTCAATGCCATACACAGTGGGAATGACAAAAGCACAGTGTAGCAGTCAGCATTCACCTTTGGGTGCTTTTACAGCAGTGTCCTGTTCTAGAATGTTCTTTGGATCCCATCTGGTGCTCCTGTGTTGAATAGAGGATTTGAACACTAAATCTAAAAAACGTTTCAAAGCTGGTGTTTCAGACTAGTAAATTGGGGTGCTAAATCTTTTCTAGTTTGAAGATGTGCTGTAAAATGTGGCATTTAATGCAGTTTATTACTCTGTCTCCATGGAAACAGTTCATGTCCATTATGCATGTGCTGCACGTGAGAAAGTTGTGCAGTGAGCCTTCAGTTGGTTTCCCTTTTTCCATTACTTTTGCCTTTGCATGATAAAGGTGAAACAGTTAAAAAACGTTCAGCTTACAGCTGGGGAATCATGACAGGGAAATCTTCCAAAGGTAAATCTGTACTTCAGTTCTGACAAAACCAAAACTGTGCACCTCTGTCAGGGAATCTGGATAACCTCATGTCATAGGGTTTTATTTAATTCGAAGAAGGTAGATCAGGTAGACTTCACCACTAGAGCTGGCTTTTATAAATAATACTTGTAGGGAGATGGGGGAGAATAAATCCTTGAGTTCTATGGAAGAAACACCAAAAAAGTTTTAATTTGTTCACTTTAAAGAAATTCAGATTAGCAAGTAAAGAGATACATAAGATCTTTTCTAAAATTGTGGATAATGGTAACTGAAGCTTTCTGCTTTCAGAGCTGAGTGAGGCAGATAGCTTGAGGTAGTGTGAAGAGTGGCAGTGGTGACACATGACTCTGTAATTTCATGTTTGAAAATTAGGGATTTAGTAGCATCTGACCCTAAGATTGAAGCTTTAATCTTGGGCTGGAAAGCAGTTTGATCACGTGCTGATGTACAGCTCAGTACCTCATGCTGACTTCCTGCTCTGCTATTGTCATTTCAGTTAATTGGGCTCTTTCTCTTACTGCATTGCCTTTTTTCAAACTCACATTGATATTCTTGCCTCTTGATAATGTGAGAGAAGCTTTTCTCTGTGAAATATTAAATTAAATATCCATGTATCTCTTTTTGTTCCTTACCTCAGAAACTGAAGGTCTGTCATTTACTGTTTAATTACTAAACTTGTTACAGTGCTCTGTCAGAGTTGTTTGCTCAAAGCAGCACAGCACAAAACATGAGTTAAAAAATTCTGGGACTTCTGCATTGTGTTGAATGCATCTCCACTTCTTTAAGTAGGTTTACACCTATTAGTGATGTTCAGGCTGGTGAGGATGTCCCTCAGCTGAGGAATGACAAATGTATACCTGTGGTTTTATGTGAATAATGCTTGTTCTGGGTTTGTTCTCCTTACACTGCAAATTTACACAGGGATCAGCCTTATTTTAGTTGAACTTTTGTAGCAGTTTGGACAAGCTGGACAGCAGCTTTAAGGCAGAGAGAATTCTGAGCTTCATTATTTGGAATTAAAATGTGGATGAATTAATCTGCATAATTAATTACCATCACTGAAGAAAGCTCCTTTTCTTTGGAATTGTTTGGAATTGATTTGGTCCCAAAATTCTGCTTGCCAGTTGAAAGTTTAGCTAGCAATTTCTCGCTAGCTGTTCTTCAGTATAGATAGTGTAGTGAATATATTCGTGTTCATTAATGACTTTCCATAAATTTAAATACAGATCACAAGATTTATTTGAAAAATTGCCAGTTTATATACACAGATATAGAAGTAGGAAATAGTTTATGACTGTATGTAGAAGGACACAGAAACTGATAATGAGTGATACACATGTACTGAAACAAGACCTTCACCAGGAGAGTTTGCCTCAGGTGAAATAAATTATATAAATAACTTTTCAGGCCTGGAGTTTGAAGGCTGCCCAGTGTCTGTCTAACCTCAGTAAAGCAGGCACCTGGATTGTTTATTTCTTCATATTTTCAGTGTTGTTTTCCTAGTGATTTACTTAAATTTGAATGTAAACTGCATTTATTAAACCTGTGCAGGCTTTCTTTGGTTTGACTTGAATTTTGTTCTGAGTCAGTGCAAGAAGAGGTTTGCTTACACAGGGTTTGGGGCAGTTTATTTAAAGTGGCATCTGCCTCTGAGTAACTAAATTTGGTCTGTTGTTCTCTCTTAGAGCAGAATGGCAAAGTGCATCCATACACAGGGCAGTTTTTACAGAATATTCTAAAAAGTCAGTTTTAATCTTAAGCTTGTTTAAACTACTGCACAGTGACATAAAAAGGTTTTCAAAGAAAAAAAAAAAGACCAAGAAAACCCCCTATTAGATGAAGTTAAGGCTGAAAAAAGACTATGACAGTATGTTATTGAGCAATATTGTTTCTAGAGCTTAAACATCTTTTAAGAAAAGAAGTTGTAAAAGTTATTTTACATAATACAATTGCAAAAACCCCTTGAAGATTCATCTAATTTACTTTGGCTTTAGTAATGAATGTAAAAATTCACTCATCAAAACCTGAGCTTGTACAAGGCAAAGTTCAATTACTTAAAAATATTAATATAAAATTATGAACATTATTTACAATGGAGAGATTGAATGTATCTTGGGCCAAGCCCAACGAGTGAGGGTTTGTAGAAATTTCATGATGATGCTGATAACCAGAAACTCCCTGGAAGGAGGAGGATTAGGATACTCTTGTTCTCTTCCTTAAAGTGAAGACTCTGCTGCAGTCATTGGGCCTGACCCTCTTAGCGCCTTGCTGGGATTTCACAGATTCTTTTTGGTTTGTCCTTTTTGGTCCTTTCCCCTTTGGATTGCACTGAGTATCCTGAGCATCAGAAGCGGCACCGGCGGCCTCCGCCGGCGCGGCGTGGCCGTCCTGCGCGCCGTGCCCGTCACCGTCCAGCCGGGCCGTGCCGGGGCTGTAGGCGGCCAGCTGGCACAGAGCCACGGCCGCCGTCTGCTTCTGCTCATCACAGCTCTCCATGAGCCCCAAGTCCGCAGCCTCGCCGCGCTGGGCCGCGAAGGATTTGTCGCTGGGGTTCTTGGGGCCGCACGGCTCCGCTCCGGAGCTCTCCTTCTCGGTGTTCGGAGAAGCGGCAGCGGCGCTGTTGTCGTGGGATGGGCTGTGGAAGGACGTTTTCAGGCTGGCTGTGTTACAGGAATCCTTTACTGAGAGGTTCAGGGGCATGTCCTGCATTTCCAGGAAGCTCTGCCTGTCTGTTTTGGATGGGGTTTTGTACATGTGCTCATGAGTAGGTCCTGTGCTTGTGTCAGCCTTTTTTGAAAGATTGAGGGGAGCTATCCCCGTGTCTTCCTCCGTGTTGGACAGCGAGCCCGTGTTGTTCTGGCCATCGGTCTGTGTGTGGGAGTCTTCATCAGTGACATTGATGCTGAAAGAAACAAGGAGAAAAGAGAATTCACTATCCCTTTTAAACTGGGGCTGAGGAAGTGGGCAGGAAGAGGAAAAAAATCTAGACTTCTAGGCTAGAAGTACAACAATTCTGTTCTTCCTCCTTTAAATCCCCCAAGTCCCTTTCACCATACCCATCACTGTAACAGAAGCAATTCCCTTAAGTACTCAAACACATTGGAAGTACACAAACACGGTGGAAATTCCTGGTACATTTAAGGAGAATGAGTGGTCTGCTCACTGTAGCACCTTTGTGCTTTGCACAGCTAGTACAGAACATATTAACTCACTGCTGTAAATTTAAATATATCTTAACAGGCACTGCATAAAATGTGCTCATCTGTCTTCACGTGTCCCTGGTAAACCTGACAAGAATTTGCAAAGTGTTATTTTACCTGTTAGGTGAATCCCCTCTCTCCTGCTGTGCCTGTGCACCTTGAAGGGAAGATGGTTGGTCAGTGCTTTTCCTCACAGGTCTGAAGGCCGTGAAGTTTTCTTCTGATTGGTCATACTTGCCCAGGGATGTGGAGGATGACTTGTTGGAGAGGTCAAACAGTCCCTCACAGGTGTGGCTTGTCTGGGTGAAGTTGGTGGGGCTGGGTCTGCCGGGGGAGCCTGTTGCCGCGCTTCCCGCAAGAGGGCTCATTTTGGCATTCTCTCTCTCATTTTGGTCATCCTTAGGGTTACCTTTGGCATGCAATAACGTCATTTCTTTTTCATAATCTGCTTGTTTTTTATGTGAACTTAGAGGGTATTGTTGGGAAGGGCTTAAAGAAGCTGGGTACAGCAAGGTAGTTTCTTCCATCAGATGAGAGTTTTGCTCCCTGTTAATACCAGCTACATGTGAAAATCTGTAAAATGGAGGATCTGTTGGCCTACAAAATCCATATGGTATCGGTGGAGTGGAGTGGTACTGTTGGAACAATCGATAGTGTTCATATGCTGATGGATTTAGGGGTTTTGGAAGTGGCCCAGGGTGGGGAAGAAAGTGTCTTTGATCTTGTGTTCCATAGACAGAGAGAGCAGAGCTTTCACACT